AAAAAAAACAAAAAAAAAAAAAAAAAAAAAAAAAAAAAGCAAAGCACCAACAAGGGCTGGAGAGAGATGGCTCAGGGGTTAAGAGCACTTGTTGCTCTAGCAGAGGATGGGTTCGATTTCCAGAACCAACACAGTGGCTGACAACCACCTGTAACCCCAGTTCCAGGGGAATCCAGTGTGTCTTTTGGCTTCCTTGGGCACTTCATGAATGTAGTGCACTTACATACATGCAGGCAAAACATCCATACACATAAAACAGAAATCCATCTTTTCTAAAAAGCAGGAAGAGACCAGACTGCACAATGGTATCAGTCAGCAGTAGAAAGCCTGGCTAGGGTCATGTTTTCTGACACAGACTGCTAACTAGCCACAGCAGCATGAGGAAGCAGGCATGGCAGTTTTGAGCACATATATACCCGGAAGGAACACACAGTCTTTAGTGCAAGGGAATCGAATCTGCTCCAAAAAACACCGCCCCACCCACCCAAATGAGTCCGGTGGTATTTTTAGCAGGTTAAGAACACTTGGCATCCCTGGCAAAGCCAACACTGCAACATCCTCAGGCAGTGAGCAGCATTCTCCTTAAGAAAAGAAAGTGTACGGGGTCTTAAGGGCTTCCATTTTCTCTTTCACCGCCACCCTCAAAAGTCTCCTTTCTGGAACAAGCCTTCAGGGACTGAATACGTTTTCTTCTGAAGGGCTGGTGGAACTGAGAGAAAAGGGATTGACAATGTCAGGAAAGGCCGGATCCACAGCTCTGCAAACTGGGCAGCACTCCACAGCCAGCACAATGGCATCATGGTCACCACCCAGCTGAGCTCTGGTGAATACAGAGACCGTTCATTGTTCTCAACCACCAAAGAAGGGAGAAAAAAAAAACCACAACAGCATTGAGGTCATTCACGAAACACTGCTAAGGCCTACAGACAAGACAGAGCCTCCCAGTCTTGAATGATATATTTTCCCATACAGCTCTTCTAAGGCAAAAAGAGAAAAAGGAAAAAAAAAAAAAAAAACCAACAAGAAAAAACACCCCAAACCCCCACATTTGTTCTGCTATGGCTTTCTTGCTCTAAAAGATAGATTTTTTAAAAGCATTAACTATACATGAAGAACAACAGTTAAGAGCTTTGTCATTTTTCCACAAATACAATGTAACTCTTTCCACTAATTTACTAAAAAAAACTCCAGCTGTAACGCCTTATTGGAAACTTTGTCAAAAGTATGTATTCTTTTCATTGCATATTTACATGCTTTCTTTTTTCTTGAATACACACACACACACACACACATATTCTTATAAATATAGGATATAGGGCATGCCATGACAACCAGAAAGTAAAAAAATCACAAACTCCCTCCAAAACTATATGTCTTAACACGAATTTTCTTTCTGTCTTTTTTTTGGTACAATTTTGAAAATTAAATACATGAAAGCTCATTTGCTTTGACTTTTACAAAGGAAGCCAGTCAAAATCAATTATTAAATTAGTCTTTGTGGCTACAGCCTGGAGGCTCAACCCTTTTCTGTTGAGGTCTCCACTGATTTGGCTCTGAGTCACAGACTGATAGTTTGGGGGCGTAATTAAGACCCTCAGAACACACACTACAAGGGAGTGTGCCGAAGACTAACACAAAGCAAATGAAGGGGCCACGAGTAACAGAAGTCACCTGTGATTCTAAGAAATTGTCCTGAACATGTAATGCTAACCCCAGAGATGCCTTTCAATTGTACAAATACCAAGAGTTAGCTCAATGGGGGAGAAACGATAACTTGCCAACTTCAGACAGTTTGTTTCCTGCCCTCCTACTCTGGCTGTCTCCATGCTACCCCTAGCTCGTTGGGCACAACAGGCTTGACACCTCATGGATTTCTTCCTATGGCTTTGTATGGTCCCTACTCCGTCATTTAGACATTCAAGGTGGCCTAAGTCCAAATGTCCTACTTCCACCCACAGGACGAGTCAAAACTTCCTTTTTTTCAAACAAGAACATTTGTTTATTGTGTGTATGTATCACATTTGGTGGCGATAAATGCTATCACCCACTAAGCCACCTGCCAGCCCCACAAGCTCCATCTTTAGCTGGACACGGGCCCCGCTTACGAACACACATCTCACTGAGTTTCCGTCTGCACCTTTAGAGTTGAAGATGGAGGGAGACAAGTAAGTGATATTTAATCCCGTTTCACCCTCTCAAGCCCAGCTTTACAGTCGTCTAGGTGTTGCAGTAAGTGTTGTCACGAGGAAGGAAGGCATGGGGAGTGGGGGAGAAGATGGAAAGGGGATAGTTACCAACTCTCGCCTCTCCCCCCCACAAATCACATTCCACCCACAGAAAGGCAATATTGAATGGATCAGCAAGGGTGATAAACATTTGTGAATGGTTTTATTTGCTAAACCCTTAATGTGGCTAGTGCCAATCGGAAATGAACTACAAGGCCAGGAAAGAGCAGGATAGTCTGACGCAGAAACATCACAGGCAAGGGGAGAACTGAGAACGGGGACAACCGAGAATGGCAATGACAATCCAGTTGAAAAGAAGAAACAGATGGCATTCACTCCATTTCAGGCATGTGTCTTTCATACAATATATCCTAGTGTGACCGTGAAAGAATAGGGGAGCATAGAGCACACACTCAAAATTAGTGATACAGCAGTAAAAATCTGTAGTTTAAGTAGTTAAAACCACTTTTATATTTCTGGACATTTACTTTAAATTACTGTCTATAAACACATTCCTACAGATGCCATACGAATTTCTTTTTCTGAGTCCTGTACTTGCTCTGGGCACTTATTTGGAGGGAAAGATCCCACCACGTATTCCATTTTCCTGCCACCAGAGAAAATAACAGCTATTGGCTCCCACCTGTGGAGGCTGCTGGACTTGTTGAGGTTACCTGTTGCATCCAGATAATATTCTCTCCAACCTCTGCGGCCCCAAAATATTAAGGGTTCAGTAGCTCAAAAAAAAAAAAAAAAGCAAAAAGTTCCAAATATTCTCAGCAGTACATGGAAATCCGTTAATATATTTTCAATTTATCTGGCCTTAATCAAACAGTTACAGTCTGTGGTCACTTGTCCAAGTGTTCTATGGATGGATTTCCTAATGTAAAGAAGTAATTCTGAGAGTTCGATTTAACTTTCTTATCTATACTCCAGCCATGTTTAATTTCCTGTCGTCTGTCTTATCTCAACTTCTCCTTAAACGCCGGATTTTAAGACACACAAAATAATAGTCTGCCAGCTGTAAAATAGTTTTAGAATGAAAATGTCTCTCTGCAACTTTGGTTTGTATACTTTCCCAGCGCAGCAATCAACAGGGAGGATTATATACCTCACTGTGAACTTGCCTGTTAGGATTCCCCCAAAGCATATGTGTGTATTTCCTTGTCATTTTGCCATCCTAAAGGGGATATTATTCTGACAAATTATGCTGGAATAAATTGTACTTTTAAATAGTACCACAACCTCACAATTCATAGGAATAGTGAAAGTAAATAACCCTAGAAGCCTTGTGTTAACTTTTAGTCCAAAGATTTCAAGTAATAGTCTGGCTTTTGGTTAAAACAAAACAAAGAACAGTTGAGTCCAGAGAGCCTAGCCTATCAAATGTTCTCAAGATAATTTCCACTAAGACCCCTGACTCCTGACCTACAGAGGCCAAAGGAAAGGAAAAGAAAACTCGTTATTTTTATTTTATTTTTTTTAATGAGCCAATATCATAGACATACCTCCAAGGAATTGTCCTGAGCTAGGGTTGGATAGGCAAAATCAAATTCACCTATAGACCTACTACTGCAAACGGGTCATTTACTGCACATTTGAATTACAGGTTTAAAGTAGTTCCCATGCTTGAGCCTCACTTCTAAAGATTTCGACTGAAAGAGTCTGTGCTTGAGCATCAGAAATTTTAGCAGGCATCCAAGGATTAGTAAGCACGACGGGGTTGAGAGCAGAAATTAGAACTAGGTTTCTTTAAGCAATCTGTTAAGAGCCTGGAACTCTCACGAGTCTCTGCAACTCCTCGTGCCGCCACATAATGGTAATTAGAGCCACAACGTGATCAAGATAGTCCCTCAAGTTTCTGTGGCTATGAGACCTGGGGCCTCCAGGCTACTCCCTTAATCCCCCAAAGCAACCCATCAGTCCCCGAAGTCACCTCGTGGGCATGCAGCTTGCAGATGTCAGGCGGTGGGCAACCACGGGACCAATTTTCGGTGGAGCGGGGGGTAGGGAGGTGGGGGGAGGGGAGAAGATACAAGGAAGGGGGGGGGGGAAGGAGGGAGATGTTGCCTGGGCAACTAGGAGCGCGCTTCCGGTTCGGCTCCCGAAGGACGGAAGTCCTGCCTTAGCCACCGACGTCACCTCGCCTTCGGGGCTGCACAGAGCTGACAGGCAAGCGCACAAGGAATTCGCACGTCCGGGTGTGGCGAAGGCGGTTGGAGGGCGGTCCCGGCCAACGGTCCCAGGCCTATTGGGTACCAGGGCGGGACTGTTAGCTCCCATTTTTTGTTCTTTTCTTTAGCTGTCGCTTTCTCCTACGTACCTAAAATGGAGACTGGGAAGTGCTCCTGCTTTGAAAATCTAGATTCACTCAGATCTGAGCTCTGTGTATTTAACTGCCTCAGTCCGCTATTTCCTAACCTTGACACGGTACCTAGCCTGATGCCCCACCTCAGACAAAAAAGTACCAACAATTTCTGTCATCATAATCATCGGCAATGCATGTCCTGCTAGAGTCGCAGGAGAGTCCTTAATAATCAAATATAAACTACTAGAAATCTCAGTGTAATTATTTGGCAAAATATGCCATAACTTGTGGGAAACTTTTCCTATGAAAATTGGATTTGGACCAGATGCTTATTTGCATGGTTATTCCAAAAAAGTGAAAACTGGAAAATACTACTCTCCATTAGAATTACAATGTATCCCACATATATCACTTTATGTTCTAACAAGCACATTAATAAGGTAAAAAATATAAAGATGAAATTAATCTCACTCTTCCTTAAAGTAAATTATCCTCCCCTAGGGCAAGGTTTTTTTTCTTTACTGAATATACACCGGTAAACAAGATAGCTTTTTAAGTTCATAAAATGGACAGTTGGTTGGGTAGAGAGTGTAGACAGTAAATGAAAGTGCAGGTATGTCTTGGTTTTGTTTGTTTGTTTTAGAGTCTTAGGTAGCCTACTCACTATGTAGCCCGGGGGGAACTTGAATTGTTCAAGTCCTTGCTTCTATTTTCCAGGTGGAAAAGGGTTCACTACCATACCTAGCATATTGTAGTAGATTATGTGAAGAATATGTTGTAGACAGGGCCAGTCTGTACACTCACATGCACGCATGCATGTGGTTTGGTGTAGGCAAAAAAATGAATTGCCAGAAGTGACCCTCACATGTGACAACTAAAAAAAAAAATGTCCCCCAGGGGCAAAGTTACCGTCAGTTGAGACTTATTGTCTTAAGACTTGGACAACTCATCCATCATAAAGACAAAGCACTTTTGGAATTTTCTGTCTTCCAGATGGCCTAGGCACCCAGCAGCAAGTTAACTGAAGACAAAGTCAAGAAGCTAGCAGATTTGCTCCTCCCCCTTGTCTTATGGAGATAGCTATCTTCTTGGCTGAATTTTAGTGGTTATTTCAAATTAGTCGCATAAAAACATTGATGGTGTTTAACAGTGAGCCACTAAAATGTGAGAATCCAACCCATGACCATTTTTCGATTCTAAGTGCAGAAATTGATGCTGTCCACAGACAGTAACATAAATGTATGGATGGCATGTGATACATTTGCTCATGAATAAAGGGGAAATGGCTATGAAAAAAGGGTGAGAATTCTGTTTAAGAAGCAGGTCAACATAATTAAGGCAATATGCAGCAAGCCAATAGCCAACATCAAACTAAATGGAGAGAAACTCCCAGCGATGCCACTGAAATCAGGTACATGACAAGGTTGTCCACTCTCTCCATACCTATTCAATATAGTTCTTGAGGTCCTAGCTAGAACAATAAAACAACAAAAGGAGATCAAGAGAATACAAATTGGAAAAGAAGAAGTCAAACTTTCACTGTTGGCTGATGATATAATAGTTTACATAAGTGATCCCAAAAATTCTACCAAGGAACTTCTACAACTCATAAACACTTTCAGCAATGTAGCAAGATACAAGATTAACTAAAAAAAAAAATCAGTAGCCCTCCTGTAGACAGATGATAAAAGAGCTGAGGAAGAAATCAGAGAATCAACACCCTTTACAATAGGAACAAATAGCATAAAATATCTTGGAGTAACTCTAACCAAACAAGTAGAAGACTTGTATGACAAGAATTTTAAATCGTTGAAGAAAGAAACTGAAGAAGACACCAGAAGGTGGAAAGACGTCTCATGCTCATGGGTAGGCAGAATTAATATAGTAAAAATGGCAATCTTACCAAAAACGATCTACAGATTCAATGCAATGCCCATCAAAACCCCAGCAAAATTCTTCAAGGACCTCGAAAGAACAGTTCTCAACTTCATTTGGAAATGCAAAAACCCCAGGATAGCCAAAATAATCCTGTACAATAAAAAAACTGGAGGCGTCACAATCCCTGACTTCAAACTCTACTACAGAGCTATAGTACTGAAAACAGCCTGGTATTGGCATAAGAACAGACAGGAGGACCAATGGAACTTGTTGCGGGAGGTCCTCAGGCTCCTCCAGCCAATAGCCGCTTTTTTTAAAGGGAGAGAGACCACGCCCCAATGGAACTGAATAGAAGACCCGGATATCAATTCACACAGCTTCAAACACCTGATATTTGATAAAGAAGCAAAAAATATCAAATGGAGAAAAGAAAGCATATTTAACAAGTGGTGCTGGCATAACTGGATATCAACATGTAGAAAAATGAAAATAGACCCATATCTATCACCATGCACAAAACTCAAGTCCAAATGGATCAAAGACCTCAACATAAAGCCAGCCACACTAAATCTTATAGAAGAGAAAGTGGGAAGTACACTTGAACACATTGGCACAGCGAACCACTTTCTAAATAGAACTCCAGCAGCACAGACACTGAGAGGAAACAATTAATAAATGGGACCTCCTGAAACTGAAAAGCTTCTGTAAAGCAAAGGACACAGTCAACAAAACAAAGCAACAGTTTACAGAATGGGAAAAGATCTTCACCAACCCCACATTAGACAGAGGTCTGATCTCCAAAATATACAAAGAACTTAAGAAATTAAACACCAAAAAAACCCCACATAATCCCATAAAATAATGGAGTACAGACCTAAACAGAGAACTCTCAACAGAGGAATCTAAAATGGCTGAAAGACACTTAAGGAAATGGTCAACATCCTTAGTCATCAGAGAAATGCAAATCAAAACAACTCCGAGATTCCATCTTCAACCTGTAAGAATGGCCAAGATCAAAACCACTGATGACGACTTATGCTGGAGAGGTTGTGGGTGTTATGGTATTGGTCCCTTTAAGAGACAAGCCACGCCCACCCCCTCCCCCATCCGTTGAGGCAGGCTGATCTTCAGCTTCTGCCTGAGCTCTCTCTCTTTTCCATCTTCCTCTTGGAGAGGCAGCTTCGCTTCTGCCTCTCTCTCTCCCCACTTCTCTGCTTCCCCCCTTCTCTGTCTCTTTCTCCTCTTCTCTCTCTCTCTCTCTCTCTCTCTCTCTCTCTCTCTCTCTCTCTCTCTCTCCCCCCACCTCCCTCCCTCTCTCTCTCTGTCCCCCCCCTTCACCCTTCCTCCTCCATAACCCCCTGAATAAACATTCAACCTCACCCTGCATGTCGTGTCTATCCATGTCTCTTGTCTTCTACCCGCCCGCCATGTGTCTCCCTGCCTGGGACCAGTCATTGCTCAGGGACCAGCAGCCGTCTCTGCCTGGGGCCCACTGCCTGCTGCCACATGGCCAGCCACCACCACTCTGAGACCGGCAGCCGTCTCTGCCTGGGACTGGCTGCTCCCAGGGCCAGCTGTCTGCTACCACATGGCCAGCCACCACCGCTTAGGCCACCGCTCTGGGACCGGCAGCCATTTCTGCCTGGGACTGGCTACTCCCAGAGCCCGCTGCCTGCCACCACATGGCCCGCTACCACCATTTGGGACCTACAGCATTTCTGCTGCCTACTGCCGCAGGGATCTTGCAGCATTTTTTAAAAAAGAACAACAGTGGGGAAAAGGGAACACTTCTGCATTGCTGGTGGGAATGCAAGCTGGTACAACCCCTTTGGATGTCAGTGTGGCGATTTCTCATAAAATTAGGAAACAACCTTCCTTAAGATCCAATAACACTATACTGCATCCTACATTTTTTTTGTAGAATTGGTCTGTTGGATATAAGTTATTTAGACTTTTTATGTTGAGTTGAGTTCTTTTTTTCTTCAATTATTTTCTCTTGTCTTTCTTTTTTCCATATATTTAGTGCTTTAGTTATGATATGCTATAGGGTGTTTCTTTTCTGCTCTTGTCTATTTGATGTTCTTTTGTGCCTCTTATAACTGTACTAGTGTGTATTTCCTTAGCCTGGGGCAAGTTTTCTTCTATGATCAATGAACATGTACAGTCTTGTTTTAATCTCATTATTTCCTAAATAATACAGTATTGAAAATACAGAAACTATAAACACTTATATGGAAAAAAAGATCCAATAACACTACTTTTGGGTCTATATCTAAAGGATGCTGAATTGTGCCTCAAGGACATGTGCTCAACGATGTTCATAGCAACTTTGTCATAGCCGGAACCTGGAAACAACCTAAATGCCCCCCGATCAAAGAATGAATAAAAAAATTTTTGGTACATTTACATAATGAAGTACAATACAGCAGAAAAAAAAATTACGGCTTGAATTTTGCAAGAAAATGGATGGAACTAGAAAACATTATTTTAAGTGAGGTAACCCAGACACAGAAAGACAATTATCTCATGTGCTAACTTATAAGTGGTTTTTAAATATAAAGCAAAGAAAGCCAGCCTACAAACCACAATCCCAGAGAACTTAGACAACAATGTGGACACTAAGAGA